GGGAAGAGGGGGATAGTGATGTTTTTCTTTTGTGTCTGACATATGGGTCGCACAGTGTTGTATTTCCTTTTGCTGCATCTAATTGCTACGTAGACGCCACGTCACCCAAAACAATTCTCAATACCGTCTTGGAACTATATTTATACCGGTTTTGAAAGATGAGGGATGTGTTCTACCCAGTTGCTCGGTTGAGGGGTGCGATTTGATCTCGATCCTTAGATGGGGGACCTAGAATGGACTTATTCCAATCAAATTTGACCAAAAGTTGAGTGCGTCCGAACAAGGAATAAGTTCACTTTGACTCCCGCCTCAAAAGTGATTGTAATCTAATCCGTGACCCTCTGGTTTTGCGATTTAGGGTCACGGGTTAGGGTCCAATCACTTTTGAGGGAGTCAAAGTGAACTTATTCCTCCAAACAAACCTTTTCCCATTATATATCGGGCCTCAAACTTTTGGCCTAACTAGGCCGAATAGAGCCCATTCTTGTAGCCAATTTGGAAGTTGAGCCATCGACAGGCCTTGAAGCAGATATATAGTTGGTACAAAAGCCTAACAACGTAATTTCCACCACCTATACAACCCAGAAAGTAGTAGTTATTATTATTATTATTATTATTATTATTATTATTATTATTATTATTATTATTATTATTATTATTATTATTATTATTATTATTATTATTAGTAGTAGTAGTAGTAATAGTAGTAGTAACAACAACAACAATAACAACAACAACAACAACAATAATAATAATAAAAGGACTTCCATAGTAGTATAACACTTGGAAACTTGGACTTGGCAAATTATGGGCCAAGCTACTCACGAACAAGTAGTCCCTCTAGAAAATATGTGACGTTGCTTTTCAGTCTGTAAAGTTAAATTATGACCATAATTTTATAGTCCCTCCACCTCTTTTCATACGATGTTGGTTGCTTACAATAAAGAGAGTGTCTAGACAATAAATTTATGGTATTATATCCTTTTAGTTTATGTATTATGCTAGTATTGTTTTCAAGCCAAATCTATTGGCAATACTTTTTTATGTTCCTAAACATCGAATATGACGGGAGAAAGTATTCCTATCTCCATCCAATCTTTGACATCGTTAACTCTGTTTCACACTTCCACTTAAAAAGTGAGATTACATTGTATTTGGGAATATAGAAGTATACACGTATAGAGAGACATCCTCTCGACAGATTAGAATCGCGAATTAGTGCCTCCAAACCTGTCGTCCTAATTGACTCAGCACCGTGTAGCACGACCCAGACCTACACTTGCAGCTTAATTTGCAGGTCGGCCTCAGCTCTGCTGCTCTTCTCGGCGTCCTTTTTCCTTCTTTCTTTCTTTTCGCTGTTCTGATTCGATCGATGTGAAAGGGATCATATGCTCCGGTAGACCATCGATTTCCACCCGTATCTCCATGGATGAATTAACAAGGTTTCTTCTCGAATTTGCCCAGTTGGAATCGCCCGTGTGAAAAATGTTGTCAAAGCATCTGTTCCGTTCTAGTGATGTTTTAGCTGACTCACTAGTGCAGATCAGCTTGAGATTGAGATCCCAGCCTATGGCCCTTTAAATTATGAAAAAAAAAAACGAATTACCCTCTAAACATTAGGCTAGTCCTATCACCCCCTAGAGTTTACAATCAGACATTCTTAACCCTGAAGTTTTCAATCCGGATGAATTATCCGGCCCTCTTAATTAGTTAATCTCAATCCGGATAAATTACCCCTCTCCCTAGTTAATCCTGAGTGGTTTTGGTTTGATGTGGCCCACACGTGGCACTAGTTTTTGAGTGATGTGGCAATCAAATTAAAATAAAAAATAAAACAGTGGTGGGGCCCACCTATCAGGAGATCTAGAGAGAGAGATGGGCATGGCGATCTAACGGGCGAAACTCACGGCGACGGGGACTGGTCCTCTAAGGGTGCCGGGGGCGGAGGTCAGGCGATGCTTGCAGAGAGCAGTCGGCCAAGAAAGCCCAAGGCGGCGGCGACGGTGGCCTCAGATCCAGTGTCGATGTGGGAAGAGACTAAGTCGCACATCGGGCGTCGGCGTGTGAGGAAGTGGAAACATGGGAGTTGGGAGTCATGCGGCAGCCAGTCTTCACTGATCGCTGCGTCCTCACCTCTAGTTTCCCCCACACCAGCGCCGTCTGAAGCTTCCCGAACTTGATGGCACCTACAGGAGATCACCGCAGCTGAGGAGCCACGATGAGGAGCTTTGCTCCCTTTTCTCACGCTCGTGAAGCGGGGAGGGGACACCATGGCGGTTGCCGGTCGGGAGCTCCAAGACACGATCTCGTCGCCGCCTCCACCTCCACCCTGCCTCCTCCGAAGCTGTCAGCTCGGCCTCCTCCTCTACAACTCAAGGCTAAAAACAGAACTCGATTTTTTCTTTTACAAAACACATTGGTAGTTTGAGAAGTAGAGTAACGAAAAACGAGAAATAAAGCAACATCCCGTTCGAACTAACTTTAGCAAGTTTAAATGCAAGTACACCAGTTGGATCAAGCAATATCTTCAATAAATTCCGGATCAGGTTTTCCACATTGTACGGAGAGTTATTAGCTTTGTACAAGTGGTGACTCATCCTGAAACTTAAACAGACTAACAAGTACTCTATCATTTTTAAATTATTTGTCGTTTTAGATTTAATTTGTTGAATGTCAAACAGTCATAACTATAACCATGAATTCTTAAGAAATTCATATGGTTTAGCAACTTCTGATTTATATATTATGAAAATATTTCTCACCGTGAATCTACAAAAGCATAAACCTTATAATATTAAATTATACTACATTTATTTCATATTATAAGTCATTTTAATTTTTTTAGTCAAACCTCATTAAATTTGATTAAATTTGTAGAAAAATTTAGTAACATCCACAACATTAAATTAGCTTAATCAGATGTAATATTAAATATATTTGATAATATTTTTGTTTTGTGTTAAAAATATTACTATTTTTTATAAATTAACTTAGTCCAACTTAAAAATGTTTAATAAGGAAAAAAAGTTAAAGTGAGGGAGTACATATTTTTAAATATTGATGGTTAAAGTTTAAATTTCGATAGAACTAAAACAGGCGTGCTTGTCAGTTTATAATGGAAATTAACAGGCGTGCTTGGCAGTTAAAGGACTCATTTGAATCGCATGATTGAAAAAACGGAGGAATATGAAAAACACAAGATTCTGATAGGAATACAAGTGTAAGAGCCCCTTTGAATCGCAGAGTAGAAAAAACGGAGGAATAGAAAAAACACAGGATTCTGACAGGAATTGAAGTGTAAAACAGAGCATTGCAAAACACAGGAAAAACACAGGAATGGTCGTTTGATTAGAGCGCAGGAAAAACGCAGGAATCGGATAAGAGAGATATACTCAAAGGAAAATTTCCAAGAGGTTGGAGCTCTTGCTAAATTTCCTCCAAAATCCACATGCAATGTGCCATTCCATAGGAATTTCATAGGATTTGGAAAGCTTCAATCCTTTGAATCAAAGGGCCAAATAGGAAAATTTCCTATAGGATTTGAATCCTATAAAATTCCTACATAAATCCTTTGATTCAAAGGGGCCCTAAAACAGATGATTGCAAAACACATAAAAACACATAAATGACCGTTTAATTAGACCGCAGGAAAAATATAGGAATAAGATAAGAGAGATAGACTCAAGGAAAGTTTTTCAAGAGGTTAGAGTGGATGTTAACTTTCCTACGTTTTTACTTTTCTCATTCTTATGAATAGGAAAGTTTCCTACGTTTTTTCTTTTCTCATTCTTATGAATCAAAGCCATAAATAGTGTAGAATTTCAATTTCTTTGTTTTTCCTCCATGTTTCCTCCAATTCAAAAGGGCCTAACGCAGACTTCCATTGCACAGTTGCCAATTTGCCATTGGTCCAAGCAAAGCCAAAGGAAAAGCTAAGAGGATTGCAGAATTCTACGCAATAAAGGGAGAACAAGAATAGATGCATTGCACACATTAATATATTTTGTGTTTATTATTTCCTTGTCTCTTCTCCTTTGTTTCACACTTCCACTAACCACTTATATACTCAGATTATTGAAATACAAGCATAGTGGAAGTTAATTTTCCCCTCTCATTCCAGATGATCAATCTGTCCCTTTCAGAGGATAAGAGCTGAACTGAGCAATCTGCGAATTCCCAACTTGGAATATAAACACCTGTAAATGACAATGCCTCTGGAACAACTCTTTGTTTGAAAACCACACCAACTTATTTTATGGTTGGATTATAAGAGAAGGATGCCACTTTTGACCAAGTATACGTCTCTCCCTATATTTCTTTCCTTCCATTTTTGTCTTCTTCTTGCACTTCAACCGTGTCAATCTTTATTCTGCATAATTTGTTTTTAGCAATTATTAAATTTGGTCAATCAAATAGCTTGGCGTCCTGTGATTTTAGTATTTAATTTTTATTTTGGTTTGGAAACTTGAGACCCTATAGTTCTTCAACCCATATCTGGTGGAGTTCACAGGCACAACTTCATTATCCCTTTCTTACTGCAGAAATGAAAAGTATAATTAAAGTGACGTGTTCTTGAGAAAGTACAATAAAAGTGCAACCTTTCCCAGTGCCGAAGACAAAGCACCACTGCTGTGCATCACAACATCAGATCGATCTACTCCCTGTTATATTTTGGGTTTGTCATAAGTTAAATTTCATCAAATTTAACTAAGTTTATATAAAAAAACATAGAAATATTTACAACATCAAATTAGTTTAATTAAATTCATCATCAAATATATTGTTATAGTATATTTGTTTGCTATTTCTTTCTATAAACATGAATAAACTTAAACTTAAAGTAATTTAACTTAGACAAACAAAAAAGAACTTATAATATAATATGAGATGAATGAAGGAAATAGCAGTACACAAGAATAACCATATAATACAGATAAAAAAGTTCTACATGATCAGTAGTACTTGAGTGATCAGGTCGTGAAAACAGTAACATCAGCAAATGAGCAAAGTAAATACATTACAAAAATTTTAAAGAGTGAATTGCAACAGCAGTAACCAAAAGTTACATTACATTACACCCTCAACTGGCCTTGCCGAGTGAAAAAAAAACAACCGGCGAAGTAACCAGGAGATCATAATAACTACTAAGTACAGAAAATTAATACAGCAATAATAAGCTAAGAACACTTATCTTAAACCCTTCTTAATGACTTAATCCTACTACGATGACGACGACGACCTCCTTAAACCCTAATTGCAGCAGCCATGGCCGATGTCTAATATTCCATCGGATCATGGAAGCTACTGATTACATTAATTTAATTTAATTTAATTTTAATTAATTAAAGTTGATTTGATCACGAGAGGATGGAGTCCCAGTCGATCTCCCATGACGGACACTTGTAGAGGTGGAAGGCGTCGGATTCGTCCCATGGCGCCTCCGTGAAGTCAAGGTTTGCCATCTCGGGGAGCGCCGCCGGCGGCGGCGGTGGCGGCGGCGGGAGAGGAGGCGAACAGGCGGAGATCGCCGACTCGTCTCCCTCCGACGTCGTGGTCGTCGTCGACGCGGAGCCTTTGGGCGAGTCCGGGTGAGCGGCGGCGGCGGCGGCTTTCTTGGAGGAGGCGGGCGGCGCGGCGGCGAGGCTGTGGCAGATGGCGGTGAGCTTGGCGTCGATGGAGGCGTGGAGCGGGCCGGCGAGGTGGGCGCCGCCGCGGCGGAGCGTGGGGAAGTTGAGGCGCGCGGCGTCGCCGCGGAGGCGGAACGCCGCCTTGTCGTAGGCGAGCGCCGCGTCCTCGGCGGTGTCGAACGTGCCCAGCCACAGCCGCGTCCGGTTCTTCGGCAGCCGGATCTCCGCCACCCACTTCCCCCAGTGCCGCTGCCGCACGCCGCGGTACATCTTGCCGCCGGCCGCCGCCGCCGCCGCCGCCCCGGCCTGCTTCATGGGCTGCGCCCGCGGGCCAAGGTACGACGCCGCCGCCGACGCCGACGCCGACGCCGCCATCCCCCGCTGCTGCAGCTGCTGCTGCATCAAGAACTGCACCTGAATCTGCTGGATCTGCTCCGGGCCAAGGTGAGCCAGCCCCACCGCCGCAGCATTCGCCGGCGAGGCGAACGACGAGGAGGAGGGAGGCAGGGGAGGGAGCTCCGAGAAGGAGGTGGTGGTGTTCGTCGTCGTCGTCGGAGGTGGAACAATGGCGGCGTAGGACGAAGAAGCAGGGAGGTAGTACGATTCTTGCGGCAATGGAGACGAGTAGGAGAAGGGAGTGGTGGTGGTGGTGGAGATGGAGCTAGAGGAGTAGAACAATGGCGTGGAGGTGGAGGTGGAGGTGGGTGAAGCGCTCCTGATAAAAGGTTCGAGCGCTTTCATGAGCTCCTGATCCGAGGAAGAAGACGAGGACGAGGAGCTCAGCTGATACTTGTACAAATCTATGGCCGCCATTAGCAACAACACTAAAGGCTACCAAGAACTAAAAGAAAAAAAAGTTTTGTTTTGTGCAGAATCTGAACTAAAATAATTGATTGATTAAGCCCTGTTTCTTCAAAAAAAGCGAAGAACAGGGGTGGTTCTTGCAGAGCCTGGATGAAAGGGGCCTGTAAAAACGACCCTTCCTGGCTTGCTAAAGCTTAAAAAAAAAAGAAGAAATCTTAAATCTAAACAGAAACAAAAGCTAGAAACATGGACAAGAATGAATCCAAGAGGGAGAAAAAAAGTTCTCTGGATCTCTGTTCTTCCTGAGAAGAAGAAGATTGTACTGTCGAAAGAAAGCTGAGAATCTCACACCCAAGGAACACTTTCTTGATCAAATACCCCAAGAAAGGTCCCCTTCCAAAACTAAAAAAGAACAAATGCTTCCTTTCTTGAAACCTTTTTGTCACCTGCTGCTTCTACCAAGGATCAGAGTTCAGAGAACAAACCTGCTGCCGCCGTCGCCGGCGACGATTGGGTGCCTCGTCGTGGATCGCTCAGCCTCACCGGGGAAGTGGAGTGGGTTTGGGTTGGGGAGAAGGCTTGGCTGTGGTGGGGTTTGGTGGCGTGTGTGGGGGGCGGAGGAGGAGGAGGAGGCGTCGCTCTTGGGGAGGTAGTGGCTTGCGGCCTTGGCCTATATATAGCGGCCGGAGTCACCGTGGGTTGGCTGGTCGCCGGTGGAGAGGGGAAACTTCGCAAAGCGTGAAAAATGACTCTGTCGATGACATGTGGGCCCGGGAGGCAGGGTGATGGTCATGCCACGTGTACCGTATTGGCTGGTTTGACTTCAGGTTTAAGGAGATTGGTTGTGTGCACTACTTCTCTCTCCTGTGGTATGGACGCTCCGAGCTACTAATGGCGCGAAAGTGATTGAAGTCCATGCCCATATCACCATATTTTGGGTACAATCCGTGCTTATCGGTTAAGCTATGACTGATAAACCGTAAAAAAGAAAAACTATGTAAAACTTGTGTATGTACACATGAAGAAGTGGTTCTTCTTGGTATCGTGCTGGATTTTTAATATGTTTTTGTTCCAATTTGGTAATGCAACAGTTGGTGTTCAGTGCAATTTTCGGGAGCTGTAACAAGATGATTTTATTTAAGCTGGCAAATACCATAAGCATATGAGGAGGGGTTGGGAACCTCTCCCCATAATCGAATGGCTCATTAACGTCTAATTTATTAAGTATTACTAGAAAATTTGAAAAGTAGATTAATATAATTTTTATAACAACTTTCTTATAAACATCATTTTAATAATTTAAAAAGCGTGCACACGAAAAATGAGAGAGTGAAAAATAAAAACTTGTTCTATCAAACGCAACCTAAGTCTATAACTACCCATAGAGCGGAAATATATCCTCTTGTTACTATTCTATAACTTTAAATAGTTGACATGCGGGTTGAACAAGTGAACCCGCATATATTAGAACACACGTTCTATTCAGATGTTTTGGCGTGTTACATCAGATATACGGACATACATTTGAAATTTGAAGTATTAAATGTAGACTAATAACAAAATAAATTAGAGATTCCGTTTGTAAACTGTGAGACGAATTTATTAAACCTAATTAATCCATCATTAGTAAATATTTACTATAGCACCACATTGTTAGATCATGGAGCAATTAAGCTTAAAAGATTCATCTCGTAATTTACACGTAATCTGTGTAATTAGTTTTTTTTTCTATATTTAATACTCCATATATGTGTCTAAATATTTGAATTTTTTTTTGAGAGGAGGCCTTCCGTTCCGGCTTATCTTGAAAGCTACATACGGCAGCTAAACATTCGATTTAACAGGGTGAAAAATTTTAACATGAAATCTAAACAGGCCCACAGGGAGTCATCCCCTATAGCATAGGACATGTGCGCAGCAACACCACGACCGCACAAACAGTCGTTATATATTCCACACCGTGAGAGTGATTTGAGCGAAACAAGAACTTAAATTGGCAAGAACGTTGAATTTATTGTTTCAATCTTTCTCCTCACTCTAGTCCAGCTCGATTTCAGATTTATAATAACGACAGTACTCTCTTCAACTCCAGTGCAAAATGTACTAACAATTACTCCTTCCGTCCCATAATATAAGAGATTTTAAGTTTTTTTTACAATGTTTAACCACTCGTCTTATTAAAAAAATATGCAAATATAAAAAATAAAAAGTTATGCTTAAAGTACTTTAGATAATAAAGTAAGTAAAAAAATAAATAATAATTCTAAATTCTTTTAAATAAGGCGAATGGTCAAACAGTGCAAACTCAAAATCACATTATCTATCCCTATCGCGACACTGGCGAAATCACGTGGCAATATACAGTAGTGAGAAATCATGCGGAAACATATGGGGAAATCTACCATTGAACGAGTCCGACGCTAGCGACTTCGGTCGATCACATTATTGTTCATTAAGATGTAAATTTTATCTTAATTTTTATTAGCACGGTTTTAAATTAAAAAAATCATGTGTAACAATTGTTTCAAAATATTAAATAAATTTATTTTTAAAAAAATTACAATAATTAAGCGACTGTTCATATTATAACTAAAATAAATTTTACTAAATTTTGGCAGGATTTCTTATATATTTACTAAAGTTTGACAACAAACCTTTTTTTTTACAACTTTACTGAAAAATGGTATAGTTAAAAATAATATCAATCGGAACAGCCTTAATTAGTTATACATTAATGACTTTCTTCTGCCATAACTTTATCTTCACTTTAATTTATCTCGGACACCACCTAATTCGTCGTGACTTCGTGAGTTCTCCAGATGCAAATGTAAAACCACCAGAATAATCGCCGTAGTTATAGAGACATTGCCGTGGAAGTTTTGTTGCTTGCCATGAACGACGATTTTAACAAGCACGAGATCGACCAGATATTCAGATACCATCGTCAGTAAAGTGTGGAGGCACTGAAGAAGCACAGTATATTTGCTTTGCTCGAGACCCAACTAGAAGAGAGCGGGCTCGAATAACTCCAATACATCGTTTTCCCCTTTTGTTTTTATTTTTTCCCGGAAGTTCCAAGCAATTCTAGCTAGCTTCTATGCATAGTGTTCCAAGTAATTTTTAGCGGTTTCTTCCAAGCAATTATATTCTACCGAGCTTCTCATCTGCAACATGCATAGTGTTCCAAAGCAATTTTAGTGTGTTCAGATGTTACGATCTTATAAATTGTACTCTTCCACCTATAAACTCTTTAATAATCGAATGCAATTTCTATAAAATAAAGGCCAGAATTATTTTTAGATAATATAATTATTTCGGTCTATACTTTAAAGAAAGGTACAACCAATATTACAAGCCTATAGAACAATCGACTACAAACTAAAAACCCAGCTTAATTAAAAATACGAAAACTACTTAAAACACTGCTAATTTTTTTTAAAATGCTTTAAAAAAAAAACTTAAAACCCAACTTCAAAATATAGATAATACCAATAAATCTTCATTTATGTTCAGGCTCTCTTTGGTAGGCTTATAAGCCAACTTATAATCCGAAAAGTGTAAGCGTAAACAAACAATCAGCTTTTTCGTTTGGTTTTTTTTGAAACCATAAGCCACTCTAACACTATTAAGCCAAAAGCTAAGTTAGAGAAGTTTTTTTTTCTTATGTGAGGTGTTAGAATAATTGGGCTAGGCCCAACTTATAATATTAAATCTCAAAGGCCCATAATAAATGTTGAGGATAATAATACCACCTCTAGATTTAAGCGAGAAATATCTCAACCTAAATAGGGAGTTATTAGAGGCTCCCTGTTGACCAGTTGAGGTGGGGGTCGGAATGCCACACGCGCGCGCGCGCGCGCCGGGCCGGGCTGTGGGCGTGGCTGGCTGGCGGCGTGCGTCACGTCGCTATCCTTTTGCAGCCACTAACCCACGTTCCCACGATTCCCTCCGCAACAGCGCGTCCACGTTCTCACGTTCCCACGATTCCCTCCGCAACAGCGCGTCCACGTTCTTTCTCCTGATAGATAAGGAGGCCGCGAGTCCGATCCGAGTTCCTCGCTTCTTTCCCGGTGTTAGTTTCTCCTTCTCCGCGCCTGAGTTGCTCTCGCTTCCCCGCTTCTGATCTCTTGCGCGCACGAGAGATTGGAAGAAGCAGTGCCTCCGAAACCACACCTTTGCCTGAGATCTGCACCGGGTAGGCGGGTGATCAGGTTTTTGGGGAGTGCTTTGGGGAGTGCCTCCTGCACGACTGCTCGTCGCCATGTCTGGAGTTGCTGCCGCCGCTACCGGCGGAGGTGGTGCGCCGCCGCCGACAGGAGCTGGATCCGGAGCTGGTGCGCCAGGAGGAGGAGCCGTGAACGACTACAACAACGGAGGCAATTCTGCCTCACCATCCAGCGGAGGGCCATTCTCGGGGTATAATCTTCTCCTCCTGCTACTGCTGTTAGCGCTATTCTTGTTCCCATTGTTAGCGCTATACTGTGTGCGCTGTGTTCATGTTCCTGTTTCTGACATTCATGATGCGCATAGTATGCTACTGGTTATGTTAAGATCACTCTACACTGCTTATGCCATGATCATTGTTTCAATTTCTTGGATTAAAATATGCCGAATAATGACTATATTTCCAACATGAGGTATATATATAACTTTACCACTAAACTTAGGACATCAAATTCACCGGCTTATAAATCATGTAAGCCAATAAGCCAACTTAAATGTCTAAGCCAATAAGTGTAAACCTAAACAAAAGAGCCTCAGTGAAAAACAAAAGCCGAAATAATAAATTCTATTATTGAAAAAAAATATGCATATATATATATATATAGTCCTGCACTGCATGTACTAGTGCAGCTAGCGAACGAGCGGAACCGACCGATGATTGTTCGCAGTATTGCTGGTGTAGTAGCAGATATAAGTTGTGGTCGTACATGGTAACCGGTTCACGTGTCAGCGAAACCGCTATCGTACCCGCACTACTGTAGAGGATCACGTCCAGAGCGGGACGGCAGGCCAGGCGAGGCAGCGCGTTACGCGTGATACGTCGCCGATCGATCGCGCGCGGGGTGTGTGACGGGGACGTCGCGGGGGGAGTGGAGAGATGCCTCGCATCGCATTGTTCCGGGATGGCGATGCGCGTGGGCTCGGTACGTGCAAAGCAGACCGTCGATGGCTCGATCGATCAACACTAATGTTTGCGATGGATCATGGCTATCCGTGCGCCATACCTGATCAACGTACGTGTGGGGCTCTTGGTACGTTCTTGGGGGAGCTAGCGCGACCTATAGCCACACCTCCCATGCTCAAAGTGGCGTATAAATTAAAGAAAATATCTAAGTTCCTATACATACTTAATTTTCTAATTATTGACTAATATAATAACTATAATAACATAACTCAGTTATAATTAGATAATCTATCTGGGGTCCTGTGACTCCATAGTGTGCTCGTGATCGATGATTGAATGTGATCTATAATTAAGTTGACGATAGGATGGTTCATGATAGAGTTTCTGTTAAAAACTAGAATATTAGGGAAGGACCTAATATCAAATAATTAGGAGGGGTGAGGCTTTGAACCCAGGTCGTCTAGCCCACCAACTTGTGGAGCTAGCCGGAAGACCCCTGGGCATTTCTCGATAGAGTTTCTGTTAT